TTGCAGGCTGCTTACGGATGCCGCGGGAGCCGGAATATGACGTCATATTCCGGCTCCCACGGCATCAGTAAGCAGCCTGCGAGGGAGCACATCAGAGCTCCCTCGCCACCTCTGAATCCAATTCAGCTGCATGCCACGCCGGGGATCCAGAAGGTGACCTGGTAGGAGGGAGCAGTTCCCTCCTGCCGGTCACTGGAATTTTGCGCCCCCAGAGCCAGTGCGCCCTAAGGCGGCCGCCTGTGCCGCCTTATGGACGCGCGGGCCCTGTTCTAAAGGCAGCATGGAGGGATTAGGTCAAATAAATTATAGTCAGGAACAAGTACAGAAAGTGTCCCATGATGCAGATGGCATCCCTCCCCAGCAGTGCTTTGAGAGCCAAAGAGAAAAGTGGGCAGGATCACTCTGCAGCGGCAGATGGAGTTCAAGGCAAATTAGGTAGTCAACCACTCTCTCGAGCAGCAGTGTGTCCTCCAGGTAGAATGCAGGTGACAAGTCTCCCAGTGGCAAAAAAAAACTCCAGGGAGAGGAGACAGACAGCAGCACTTCCCAGCAAATGAATGATGTCCAGGAACAGGGTACATGCTGCATCCTTTCCCAGTGACAGGGTGGTCTCCAGGGAGAAGGTGCAGGAGAAACCTCTCACCAGTAGCAGGAGAAGTTCCAGGGAGAGGAGGTAGTTGGCATACCTACCCAGCAGCAGAGCATATTTTATGGAGAGGAGGAAGTCAGCCTCCCTTCCCTTCGGCTGATTGAATTCCAGGGGGAAAGGTGCTGGAAACACTCTTCTCCAGGGGAAGATTGGGCTACAGTACAGAGAGGCAGGCAGCCCCATCTCTACAGCAACAGGATGGAGCCGTTCAATGGAGTTTGTACCTGGAATCTGCAATGGTGGTTGGATATTTTGGGGATTGTTGCTGAACTAAATCAGTTGCAGACTGGAGGTCTGGTACCTGGTTAGTCTACCATTGGGTAGGAGATATGTGACAGAAGCCAATGTGCCCTTGGCGCGTGGAGGGTCTTTTAGGCCAGCCTTTTGCCCACAGACTATGGGCTCAGTCCCAAGAGCCCCTAAATAATTAAAAAGGGGCTACTGTAGGAAAGGAGGACTTTTTGGTCTCATATTCCCTGTCTTCCCTGACTGGAGATGATAAAGCAACAGGAGGAAAAATCATTAACTCTGAACTGACCCAGTTAACTCCTATCAGCTCAGATTTGGTGTCACCAGGGAGGGAACTGGCTTGTTCTGTTAATCAACCACTGTACATGTACCCTGTTTAATTATATGTGAGATGGTTGAATAAAGTACATACTGTTTTAAAGATTCATCAAGTCTGGGCTGATGTTGGGTGAGCTGCATAATCACTGAAATGGTCCTGCTGGATAAAGAGGGATATTAACAGAGATATTCATGCTGCGTTCCAAGCTCTTTTGCAGTATATATCTCTTAGACCAGTGTTTCCCAACCCAGTCCTCAAGGCACACCTACCAGTCCAGGATTTAGGGATTACCCAGTTGTGTCTAAGGTGTTTTTTTTCTTCTTTGTAAAAACACCTTAGACACAACTGGGTAATCCCTAAATCCTGGATTGGTAGGTGTGCCTTGAGGACTGGGTTGGGAAACACTGTCTTAGACAAATAAGTCTGTCTGAAGTAAGTAAGTGACTGAGAAAACATACATACATACATGTTACATAGTTACATAGCTGAAAAGAGACTTGCGTCCATCAAGTTCAGCCTTCCTCGTATATATTTTTGCTGTTGATCCAAAAGAAGGCAAAAAACAGTCTGAAGCGCTTCCAATTTTGCAACAAACTAGGAAAAAAATCCTTCTTGACCCCAAAATGGCAGTCAGATATCTCCTTGGATCAAGCAGCTTTTACCCCACTAATTAGAAATGATATCCCTGTATGTTATGTTTTTGGAAGTATTTATCCAATTGCTAATAAAGCATCTGTAAGGACTCTGATAAAACCACCTCTTCAGGCAGAGAATTCCATATCCTTATAGTTCTTACTGTAAAAAAACCTTGTCTTTGCCTTAGATTAAATATCCTTTCTTCCAGCCTAAAAGCATGACCTCGTGTCCTATGTATAGCCCCGTTTACGAATAGATTTCCAGATAATGGTTTGTACTGACCCCGAATATATTTGTATAATGTTATCATATCCCCTCTAAGGTGCTGTTTTTCCAAAATAAAGAGATTTACATTTTTTAACCTTTCTTCATAACTAAAATGCTCCAATTCTTTTATCAATTTTGTAGCTCGTCTCGGCAAATTTTCTAGTGCCATGATATCCTTCTTTATAACAGATGCCCAAAATTGCACAGCATATTCAAGGGGTGGTCTTACCAGTGATTTGTGAAGAGGCAAAATTATTTTTTCATCCCAAGAATTTATGCCCCTATTTATACATGACAAAATCTTACTGGCCTTAGCAACTGCAGATTGACATTGCATATTGCTGCCTAATTTGTTGTCTATAACAAATCCCAAATTCTTCTCGCATGTGGTTACCCCTAATTCATGATCATTTAATCTTTTGTTTTACTTCTCTACTAAGCCACATTGGTTTCAATTTGTTTCTTTTATATTTATTACCCAATGGTACATACTGAAAAAGGTACCTTTCTAATATTTGTTTGAAGGGTTTCCATTTATCCTCAGTGTTTTTTTCACTAAGGATTTTATGCCAGTCGATATGTTGTAGAGCTGCCCTAATCTTATTGAAATTGGCTTTTTAAAAATTATACATTTTAGTATACCCCACATGCTTTTGCTGTTTTGACTAAAAAAATTATATTGTGATCAATATTCCCTAAATGCTCCCCTATTTGAATGTTGGTCAAAAGATCAACATTCTTTGTTATAACGAGATCCAGACATGCATCCTTTCTAGTTGGTGCTTGTATGAGTTTTGACATGAAGGTGCCATTTAAAACATTAAAAAACCTGATTCCCGTTGCTGAAATACTAGGCTCTCTATCCCAATTTATGTCTGGGTAATTTATGTCTGCAATAATTAACATGTTACCCAAATTTGCAGCTTTCCCAATTTTCTCTAACAGCTGTTCTTGCTCATTAATATTTACATTAGGTGGTTTATAACATATCCCAACCAATAATTGATTACCCTTCATTTGCCCCAAGCAGATATCTACCCATAAAGCATCCACATTTTCCTTGTCACACTCCACATACCGGAGATTTGACTTTAGCTCATGGTTGGCATACAAACATACCACTCCACCTTTCTTGTTTTTCCTATATGTGGCAAACCTAGCCACTTTAAGGCTTACTGTATAACATTGGAAGGTTGTCTGCTTTTATTGTCTGTAAGGATGTATTCATGTGTTTTTGCAATAAAGAGTATTCATATGCTACCGGCCAAAAGCCGCTAGCATTCATATGGTAGTTTCACGAACAGTGACTTTAGACACTGTTCGTGAAACGAATAAAGTACCGAATGGGAGCCCACACACAGAGGGTCGTGTGGCTCCCTTTAACCAATTGCAACATTGTAGCAATCGGTAGTTAAGTGCTTTCCTGGGTGGCCGTCGTTCGGCTACCGACCACGCAGCGGTCGGCCATCTTGGATCCTTTGTTAGCCCAGCAGTGTTTGGTCGTCGAGCGCCTGGAACTAAAATCGTCTACCCGACGGCGCGAACACCGCTGGACTTCCAGGCTGTACGGGAGCACCGGTCCTTCGGTAGTTTGTTGCCTAATGTGTATTCGGTACTTTTAATGAGAATGTGAAATAAAGTGTGTTTCGTGTGGTGTTCGGTTATTTATGCTGGGATCTGAGCGGTACTTTCACGAAGTGTGCGCTCAGACCCCAGCTATCTACCAAATGGTCATTTAAGGGAATCACAGGAATAATATTAAAGTGGATTTTTGTGTGTTAAAACCCGGTTCTGCTGTACGGAGGGATAATCCATTTAACAGGATATTCTAGTGGGAGTATCCCTCACATACAGCAGTGCATGGTGGGAGAAATTCTCTGTATATTCAGTTCCCCATGTAGTCCTCTATTGTAATATCCCTGTAAAGTGACTAGGGAAACCCCTTGCATGGGGAAATCACATAAACACTGGAGCTGTGAATAAAATTGTCAGTTAACTCCCAGAACTGTGTTTCGTCCGGTTACTGGGGGATTTGGGATATTGCCTTCATTTCCAGCACTTTACTTTGGATTACTTTCTATACCAGCGGAGATCTTGGGATTTAATATTGCAGCTCCGCTACACTATACTTCCTAAATAACGTGTACCCATTTAAATTAACTGCCCAGTCATTTGTCTCATCCCACCATGTTTCTGTTATGCCTATTATATCATATTGTTTAGTGTATTAATAGGAAACTTTAATGGTTTAATAGTTATGAGTTGCATTTTAATGTTTATTTACACATCAATTTGTAAAAAAGTTTGCACTATTATTTTTAATCTGTTTTATCATATGTAAATTCCTTACTCTCTTACAAATGGCTGATTGGTGTCATCTACTGGTTTCATAAGTATCCGTACAGTTTTTATAAAAATGTTAGGACAATTTTGGGGTGTCTTTGGTATTTTAAGCCAATAATAATAATTATAGTTATTATACTTTTAGAAATTGCAACTTGAAAAATAATTTGTCTTTTCCCTAGGAGAACAAAGAAGAAGGAATAATTTCATATCTTTACAATTACCTGCTATCCCACAAAATGCCTCAAAGACAAGTAAAACAAAACAAATATTTAAATAACTTTTTTCAGGAAAATGTCATTTTACTTATAATTGTGAACAAAAGCAGTAAATATTTTGATGATTCAGATAATCCTTATTTATCTAAATCATATACAAGGTTGTTTATCGCTAAAACGAAACACTAGAAAAACTAACCATGCTACTATTCCAACTATCATTATTATACAAAGTATAACATATGGAAATATTTGCTGCAGATTTTAACTGTTAATATCGCTAGCACAACAGCACCTGATATAGTTGCATGTCTACCAGCTAGAAGTAGAGGCGTGCCCAAGATTCTACTTCGATGGCTGCATCAACATAACATGCACTATAATGAGACCCATGTACCTTAAGGCAATGGTTTGGTAAACATTAACATTAATTCATTTATTCATAAAATATAAAATTTGTGCTGAAAAATAAAAATGACCCATTTTAATTGTGCAAAGAAATCAGCAGTTAAAGGAGAGTGTTATGGGCACTTGCAGAAATGAGAGGTTTTCCACTTGTTACTTATAATGGATTTTATTTTTCTTTGTTATCAAACTGGCCCAACTTTGTAAGTAAAATGTTTACACTATAGACAAACGTTTGTCTTACTATGCCAGTCCAAGTTCCTTATTATTTCATCATGGCCTTGTCTATGTGCCAAGAAATCAAGACTAAAGGTAAATTATTTTTTTCTTGATTGATCACGGATTACCCCTACAGTTTCCTTTTTAAATGTATCATATAGTCTTTTTCCTGCCCAAAATGACCAGAAGTATTGCCATCTAAAATCTATATAAACAACAATTATTAATTAGTTGAGACAGAGGGAAGAATTTGGAAAAACTCAATAAAATATTTACAAAAAAACAAAATATTATGGTTTCCAATACTATCCCTATATTTTATTGTATTCTCAATTATCTTTTATATTTTAAATAGAGAAACTCTTACTAACTATGTAATGTTATTGCTAAAGTTATCTGTATGGTCAGCCCTGCTAAATTATTTGCTTTATATACTTTACAGTGGTAAACAAGGGTACCATAGCGGTTACAGGGTATAATGTTGACCTTAAATCTCAATAGTAAGATATTATTACTAACCACAAAATACCAACAGGTTTCCAAGCTTCATGCCTATGTTTTGTTGCTGACCTGTACTAAAGTCTACCACAAAGATATGGTCTATAAACTAGCATTTCCCCATTAGCGTCCAGAATTTGAAAACTCAAGGCAAAGCCAAAAAATGACATCAGAAACCTTGCTAGAGTAAACTAAGCATGTTTAAAGGTTACATATCCAGAAAACTATGCATTTTCTCAACAATGCCTCGAAATCTTGACATAATTTGTTGCTTAGCCTCTCAGAAGCTTCTACAAACATCAAGAGAGAGGAGGGAAGAAAAATGCAGAACATGCTAAACATAACTTGTTTGTCCTAAAACACTTAATTATTAGCCCTTATCAGGTCAATAGACATCAGATTTAATCACCCTACATAATTATTAGATTTATTTAGTTATTTACCTTAAAAAGCCCCTGAATTTAGCTGGGATTGAACTGAAAATTAGTAGTATGAGGTGTTTTTCGTGGAGAAGAAGGTCTGTTCCTGTTTAGTAGGGCTCAACCTTATTTTGGGAACCAATTCTTCTGTCCATATATTATATCCTAGTCTCTTTTGTGTAGGAGCTTAGAATTATTGGTGTTTCTGAATTGATACCAGAGCTCCACAGCAATAATACTCACAGTAATGTATCTTTTCACTACAATAATGATTCTGTAAATATCTTAACATGGATACATAATACATACTTATTTAGACAAGTAACTGAAAGGAAAGAGCACAAACTCAAAACGACACATTGGTTTAGAAAAATATTTTAAATTAAACCAAAATTATGTAATATTACATATTTACATCAAAATAGAACATACATATTTTACCTATTTACAGTAACGTTTGAATTTCAAATATACAAAAATAAGTCCTGAGCTCAAACTCCCACTAATCTTGGGTGACAGCAATCACTAATGTATACATCAGCCCTAATACATACAATAAAAAAAAAACTAAGTAAAGAGTTACTTGGCCACTATCCCCATACACATTTAAATAACTGGAGGTTTTTAGTATCACTCTAATGGCCATTTAAGAGGAAGCTCACCTGCCACGATACATCTTGACATTGCAGGTGAGCTTACTCTTAAATGACATTTGAATTTCACTCTGAGTTGGCTTTAAGTACCCAACACATCTTCTTTTAGTGAATAAACCTGTAAAATGAACCAGAGCACTATCCGCATGAATAGAACAAAAACTGCATTTATTGAATGGTGTCCTATCAGTTCATTGTCATACTTTCTAATCAGTCAATACCAGTACTTGAAGATTTTTAGTATTGTCATGTCTGACTAACAGGGTTACTTACTAAATTGAGAATTCAATGTCAATTTAAAGCCAAAATAGCTGAATTGCAAAAATTATTTAAATCAGTTATGCTTTACGTTTTCGCCTACAATTTGAACTTCAGTCCTTTTAGTTAATGATATTTTCACAAGCAATGTATTTGTAGTTATTACACAGGATTCATTTGTTTCCCAATATATAATAGTTTTGTTCATGACTTTATTTTAAATATTGCTTTTAATTCTATCCCCAATACAGTGAATTGAAAAGAGAATTGCAGAGTGTGTTCCCTTAAGGACACGTGACAGAAATTTTCCATCGTGCTGACCTATTTCGCCTGAAACCGCGTCCTTAAGGGGATAAGCCAGTATAGCTGAGTTGGAAATATAGGTCCACAGAACATTTTCTCCGGTCCAGTTATTTGTGGCCTCTATTTTCCAGAAACACCATCAGGGTTATTCACTAACGTGAATTCCAATTTGAAGGCTTAAACAGCTGAATTGAGAAAAGTTCAGACATTTTAGCTATTTTGGCCTTAAATTTGAAATTCAGTTTGATTTTACTTTGAGTTCTCAATAATTTTCACTTTAGTGAATAGCACTGCATGAATAAGCTGATGTCTTATTCTTAAGAGAAATATAATGTATAATTATTTTATATTCACAACATTTTTTTTATTTGTCTTCTGAGAATCAATGATTTTTAGCTTATAAATTTAGCATAAATAGGGAACTCGGATTCAGAGTCTTCTGATTCTTCTTCTTCGGCTACACCTACCATTGCATCGTCATCATCAGAGCATTGATATTGATATTGCTCTTCATCATCAGCATCATCATCATCATCATCATCTGAAGGTTCATGTATGATCTCAGTCCTAATAAGAAAAAATAATATAATTTTACTGTTGTATCTGATTATTGTATTATTATCCTTAAAATACACTTTAATTCAGTGGTTTCCAAACCAGTCCTCGTGACACACCATAAGTCCAGGTTTTATCAGTGTATCTGTAAGAACAGAATATGGAAATACGTTATTTTTACTTTTGCTGTGACTTTAGATTATGTCTAGTAACCATTGCACTAATAAACTCCCATTTGTGATGCTTTCTATTAATTACACCTTTAAAAACTGGAAAATATGCTCACTTTTAAAGTATGTGTGTTTGGTGCACTTGATTTGAAGCTTTTAGAATGAACACTACCCAGACCTAGAAGTGGCAGAGAATTCTCAGCAAATTCAGTGAGAGCATTGCATAGATCCAATAAACCCTGCTTGGCATGTTTATGTTATATGTATTTCAACTCTTGGTTGTTGATTTATTTGAAAAAACCATGAGTGAAACTGTTGCACATGACGAACTTGTCAAATAGCTACATTCACATTTTACAGGTAATGTAAATAACTTGCAACGGACAATGTTCTATCATAAAACATCTGTAAGAGAGCATGTTGTAGTTGTGAGTGTTTAGATTAGGTGCCCACTCAATATGTACAAGCAAGTGAAAAGGAACACGCAAACCACCAAAAAAACACTACATTTTAATGTAGTGGTTCAGGTGCATATATGTCTCTTTTCCAATTTTTATTAAACATATTTGAAAAGAGTTTTTGATCAGAGATAATAATTAAGGAAAATGCAGATTTAGTACTTCTACAAATGCCAATATCTATCTATAAAAATGCAATTTTGAGACACTTCCTTAATACCGCTAAAACTCTGATACCTGCCCTCTGGAACAAACATGTACACCAACTAAGAAACAATGGCTTGATATGAAAGAAGAGATTCAAACTGCAGAAGCAATTCAGGCGTCTATTCTGGGTGGCACCACAAACATTTACATGCTTGGTACCCATGATCAGAATAATTAGTGCAGCGTAATAATAAGATTAACTAGAAAAGCTAAAATTTCTGGGGAAATTGTGTGAAGTATTCTTGCCTCCACCAGTAGTCCACAACTGGAGTGGGCGGAGTAACTGTTATTATTTATTTATATAGCACATTTAATTGCAACATTGTTGCCCAAAGTGCTTCACAGTTACATTAACCCCTTAAGACCGGAGGGCGTAATTGTACGCCCTCCGGTCTTTCCTTACTTACCCGGGGACCCCCGCGGTAGATCCTCCTCCTCCAGTGCCCCCTGGCCATGTGAGAGTGAGGTCCTTGCGAGGACCCCACAATCACATGGCCGGGATAGCCATGCTTCTGTATTGCCAGCAGGGGGGCTGCCTGTAATTACAGGTGGTCCCCCTGCTGGCTGGAAATAAAATTAAAATAAATTAATTAAGTGTAAAAAAATATATATATACTTAGATCATATATATATCTGATATATATGATCTAAGTATATATATATATATATATACACATATACATACACACACATACACTGTCTAGGTGTATTTTACTATTAATATATATAATTATATATATATTAATATCAAATTACACGTAGACTGATCTTGATTAAATGTATATAATTATTGTTATATATATATTTATATATAATATAAAAAAATTAAATATGTAAATACGTTAAAAAATAACATTAAAAAACAATTTTAAAAAATAATTAAAAAATATATAGATGTGTGTTATTTCATTATAACTGTATTGTGATATTAATATATATATATTTATATCAAAATACACGTAGAACGAAATAATATATATATCTACATACATAAATATATACGTATATATCACTATCTATATATATACCTATATATAAATATATTATATATAAATATTATATATATATATACACATATAGATTCACATACGTATATATATATACATATATTAATTCTACATATATATTTACGTAATATTTTTACATAATTAGGTATCTTAATTAATTACAATTAGCGGGACCTGCCTGACAACCCATGCCGAAAGTAAAGGGAATTTAATTTGCTAGCACTATATTTAACCCTATAACTTTCCAAGACACCATAAAACCTGTACATGGGGGATACTGTTCTACTCGGGAGACTTCGCTGAACACAAATATTAGTGTTTCAAAACAGTAAAATGTATTACAACGATGGTATCGCCAGTAAAAGTGAAGTTTTTTGCATTTTTCATGCACAAACAGCACTTACACGGACGATATTATTGCTGTGATACTTTTTACTGTTTTGAAGCACAAATATTTGTGTTCAGCGAAGTCTCCCGAGTACAACAGTACCCCTCATGTACAGGTTTTATGGTGTTTTCAAAAGTTACAGCGCCAAATATAAGGTTGCGTTATGGTAGCCCAAGAATGAAAATTACCCCTATGATGGCATACCATTTGCAATAGTAGACAATCCAAGGTATTGCAAACGGTATGTCCAGTCTTTTTTAGTAGCCACTTAGTCACAAACACTGGCCAAAATTGGCGTTTTTTGCATTTTTCACAAACAAATACTAACGCTGGCTTTGGCCAGTGTTTGTGACCAAATGGCTACTAAA